ACACCCCCACTGAGTGCTGCTGTGCCTGATATGTTAGAACTCCAGTATGAACTGGAGTCAAAAGCAGCCAAATGGTATGCCACCACTGACATTGCTAATGCCTTCTTTTCCATTCCTTTGGCCACAGAATGCAGGCCGCAGTTCAGTGGAGGGTAAAAGTCCACTGCACCTGGAACTGTTTGCCTCACAGGTGAAAACATAGCCTGACCATTTGCCATGGGTTGATCCAAGCCATGCTAGAACAGGGTGGTGCTCCTGAGCACCTACAGTACATTGATGACATTGTTGTATGGAGAGATACAGCAGAGAAAGTTTTTAAGAAAGAAGAGCAAATAATCCAAATTCTTCTGCATACTGGTTTTCCTATTAAGCGAAACAAAGTGAAAGGACCTGTTCAAGAAAGTCAGTTCCTAGGAGTAAAACGGCAAGATGGGCATCATTACATCACAGTGATTGACGAAATCACTGCTATGTCTCCACCCACGAGTGAGGAAGAGACACAATCTTTTCTGGGTGTAGTGGGCTTTTGGAGAATGCACATTCCAAACTATAGCCTCGTTGTAAACCCCCTCTATCAGGTGATGTGGAAGAAGAATAATTTTTCATGGGGCCATGAACAACAGCAGGCTTTTGACCAAATTAAACAGGAGATAGCCCATGCCGTGGCCCTGTTGCCAGTATGGATGAGAAAAGATGTAAAGAACACTGTTGCTGGGGAGAAAGTTCCCACTTGGAGCTTGTGACAAAGAGCATCAGGAAAGACCAACCCCTGGGATTCTGGAGTTGAGCATACAGAGGGTTGGAAGAGTGCTACATTCCAACTGAAAAGGAGATCTTAACCAGATATGAACGGATTTGGGCTGTTTCTGAAGTAATCGGTACTGAAATGCAGCTCCTTCTGGCACCTCGACTACCAGTGCTAACCTGGATTTTTAAAGTGAAGGTTCCCTCCACCCATCATGCTACTGATGCCACTTGGAGTAAGTGGATTGTGCTGGTTACACAATGAGCACAGATGGGAAACCTCAGCCGTTCAGGAGTCTTAAAGGTGATTATGGACTTGCCTGAAAGCAAAAAGTTTGGAACACCACCAGGAGAAGAAGTATTGCATGGTAAAGAGGCCTCACCATACAGTGAACTATCAGAAAATGAAAAGAAATATGCCCTGTTCACAGATGGATCGTGTTGTATTGGAGGGAAGCATTGCTGCTGTGTGGAGCCCCACACGACAAGTTGCAGAGGCCACTGAAGGAGAAGAAGCATCAAACCAGAGGTGGCCAATGCTTTATCTTTATACTGCCTTGTGGATGGTGGCAAATGCCTTATAGGGGTGGTTACAGCAATGGGAACAAAGCAATTGGCAAAGAAGAGGTAAAACTATTTGTGCTCCGGAACTGTGAAAAAACATTGCTGTCCAAAGAATATGGTTTAAAGGTGTGCCTTGTAGATGCTCATGTGCCCAACAGTCAGGCTACTGAAGAACAGCAAAATAACCATCAAGTAGATCGAGCTGCCAGAATTGAGGTGGCTCAAATAGACTTGTGGTGGAAGAACAAGGGAGTTATTTTAGCTTGGTGGGCCCATGAGACCTTGGGCCATCATGGAAGAGATGGGATATATAAGTGGTCTAGAAGCCTAGAGGTAGACTTAACTATGGACATTATTGCAAAGTATTCATGACTGTAACAAGTGTGCTGCAATTAAACAAGTCAAGAGGATGAAACCTCTCTGGGGAGAAGGGCAATGGCAAAAATACAAATATGGGGAGGCGTGGCAGGTTGATTGTATCGCCTTGCCACAAACTCACAGTGGTAAGCATCATGTGCTTACCATTGTGGAGGCACCCACTGGGTGGCTTGAAACATATGCAGTACCCCATGCTACCACCCGAAGCACCATATTAGGTTTGGAGAAACAAGTCCTGTGGCGACATGGCACTCCAGGAATAACTGAGTCAAATAATGGAACCCATTTCAAAGATTCACTTGTAAATATTTGGGCCAAAGGACATGGCATTGAGTGGATTTATAATATCCCTTATCATGCACCAGCTTCTGGTAAGATCGAACAATTTGTAGCGTTAATGTGGGTTGTTAAAAACCATGTTGAAAGCAATGGGTGGAGGAACATTTAAGCACTGGGAGAAGCATTTGAAAGAAACAACCAGGTTGGGCAACAATAGAGGATCAGTCAATCAAAACGGCCCTATCCAATCCAGATCCCTACATACTGCAGAGGGAGATAAGGTCCGTGTGGTACACATAAAGAGCATGTTGGGAAAAGTGGATTGGGTTCTTCCAGCTTCTGGAAAGGGCAGACCTCTTTGTGGTACTGTTTTTGCTCAGGGACCTGGATCCACTTGGTGGGTGATACAGAAAAGTGGGATGTTCAGTGTGTACCACAAGGAGATTTGATGCTGGGGGAGTGCAGTCAGTAACTCCATGTATACAGATATGTGTGTATGTAATGCATGTTAATTACTGTTTGTTTGTGTATAGATATATTTTAAGCATGATGCAGTGATGTGGAATAAGGGGTGGAACGTTGTGGTTTTGTGATTTTTGTTGTTGGTGGGAGTGGGAGTTAAAGAGTTAATGTTCTGGTTCCGTGGACTGCCTTTTTTTTGGCATTTCAGGCTCTTGGAGGGAAGGGGAGGAACAGCATTCCCGGAGGACTTCATTGGAGCTCCTGGCAGAACACCAGCTACTCTCCCTCTCACTGACTCTCTCAGTTTGCTGCAGTGGTTCCCCTGCAGTCTAGAGTAAGGTCTTAGCATTGGACACTGCTGTGGTAGCAGCAGTGGGTCACCTCCAGTGGTACACATTTTCAGAAGTGCAGTTTGCAGACTCTTGTTTGTCACAGGCAAAAACGTGTAGCAAATGCTGGTGACTATGCTGAAAAGTAGTGTTTTGTAGCAAGAATGTGCTCTATCACACAGCATTAATGTGTTCTGCATATCTTTTGTAATTTCCATAGAAATAAATAGGAAGCATTACTTCTGCAGCAGCCTATATCCCTTGCAGGGCTTTACAGTGCAAGCTTAGCACTGCACTTGTGCTCAGAAAAATCTGACCATGATTGCAGTGGGAGGAGAGCCTGACTGAAAGCTGCTTAACAGGAGCATGTGTGTACCAGCACAGATGTGTCTGCCAATGAGAGAATTCTTTATTTTGGACATGTTAGTAGAATGACAGCAGTCTATGCTGATAGTTGCAATTGACGTAAATTGTATTTCAGAAAGGATCAGGATTTTAAAAGACATAGTCTTGAAGGTTTGAACATCTGTCTTTTTGGGATACAATTCAAGAATTAAAATTTCCCTGACTAGTGGTGTAAATCAAATGAGTGAAAGTTGTTGCAAATTATGACTCTAGTGCTCATCAGATGCTTCTCACACTTTTCAGGCAAGTTAAAAAATGCACTGGTAGTAAGGGTATACTTGCTGAGGTCTGAGATCCTCTACCTGCAAATCACTGAGAAGATGTATTTTTTATAGTTCAGAAGCATACTGTAGACTCTGGAATAAGCAGAGCGAGATCCTACATGCATGCTGCCATGGGCAGCACCAGGAAAAAGCCAAACTTTTGTCTAATATTACAGAGTCTGTAGATTAAGCCTTGCTTTGTTGCGGTAACTGCAGTCTTATAATACTTCCACTTTTTGCTTTCAGTATTAGCCAATCCTTAGAGCGCACAGAGTTAGATTGTTGTTCAGGTAGGGCTGTGCTGGAAGGCTGCTTCAGTGGGCTTATGGCTGTTGGGGTATGGCTGGGCCCATGCCTGCTGTCTGGTGGCCTGCAGAACAAAGGTCAAGGGTGGCCTATACCAGACCTGCACCCAGTACAAATCACTCCCCAGGGCTAGAAGGACAGGTCATCCAGCAACCTAATACTCTGACATCTGCAAAAGGCACATGTAAAGAAAAACCTTTTCATTTCTGCGTCAAACAAAACAATTAACATGATGTGTATGAATGTTTCATGAAAACAAGCAAAACAAAGCCTCCCTTTACCAAGAGTGGCATTTAACAAATGCTACCAGCTGTTATGAGCTCACTGCTCAACCTTTGGTTCCCTCCACAGTAACAGCAAGCAAATAAAAAATCATATACTCTCCTTACTGCCATACCTGGTGCTGGATGCCACCTATTGTTGTAGGGCAGCTTCTTTTCCCCACCAGGCTAGCAGCTTGGCTCAGCTGTATGTGCAGGCTGAGAGAAACTGTGATGCCACAAGGCTATGAGGTGCCATCACCCCTTGGTCACACAGAATAGCCTGTGATCCATGTGAGTGAATTTGCAGACGTTGTGTAGAGCCTGCTTCCACTCTGGAGAGAGAAAGTTGTTCTGGGCATTGCTAGGAGGTGATTTGGATATAAACAGCTAAAGGAGGTATTAGAACTTGTCTCTGGATTTTTCATTAAAAAAATTGCATTTCAAGTTGGAAAAATCAATGTGCTTACTCACTTTTCATTTGACTGTAAAACCCAAGAAAATGATTTTACTCTGCTCTCAGGAAAAGACACAGAAAATTTATCTCCTCTGCTTCCAGTGTCTGAAATGTAGAAGGGCTCTGTTGTATAGCATCTGCTTTTAGGGCATGCTTTTAGCACTTCATTTCTACTGTATTTTTGCAAAAAAAATTGGACCTAAAATACAAATTTCCCAGCTAATATAAATCAGCAGAGCTCCACTTATCTGGATGGAGCTATGTGATTTAGGCCCACTGAGGATTAGCTTGACCAAAGGCTTTATAAGCTTTTTGAAGTTAAAGGAGTGGTCTTGAAAAAAAAAAAAAAAAAAAAAAAAAAAAAAGTGTAAGATTAAAGTAAACTACAGTTTTAACTACTAAATATTTCGAAGGTTTGAAGTTTAGTTGTAAAAATGCACTGCATCTGGGGAGAATGCCAGAAATTTGCAGCCAATGTAACATATGCATCCATACACATATTCCACAGTTACTCAGTAGGTGGCAGTTAAAAGCCTGGATGAGCTAGGCAGTCGCCATTTAAGCAGCAGCACCAGCGGAGGATGAAACTATTGCATCTGTAACAGCAGAAAGCAGGAGTGAAGCTGCAGCCCAGCCAACAGCAGCACCCACCTGGCCCCAGGGGAGAGTGCAGAGCTGCAGCCTGGGACAGACAGTAGGCAACGGGCATCACAGGACTCAAGGCAGAGGAGGAGAGAGTAGAGCGACAGCCTGCAACTGAGACGCGTTCCCTTTCCTAGTAGAGAAAAGCCCACAGCAGAAAGGGTCAGCAGCTGGTGTGATGACAGGCAGAAACTGAGGAAATTTTGCAGCCTTCTGTTCCTTCACAGGTAATTTTCTTTCTGTTATTTGTCTTCGTTGCCTTATCCATTAACATAGCTTTGCAAGGAGAATAGAGGTTCTTTTACCTTGTCAGACCAAAATCCACAGCTCTCACTCAGGAAAAATTTCAGTAGAGTTTTGCTTGAGTTAGAATTGCAAAATCTGATCCGAGTCATTACCACAGATAGAGAATATGGCACATTACAAGCTGGGGCTGATATGGAAGCCAGAAACCTGTAACATGCATTCTGGCCAGTTTAACAGCACTGCTTTTCTGTTTATTGGGATGCTGGTCATGGCTTAATCACTTTCTATTTTTTTTGAACTGCCTTTCGTTAAAACTGAATGTACTGAATTTTGCCCTACTTATACATTGCCACTACAATGGTGTAAAGAGAGGGGTTTTTTTATTTTATTTTTATTTTCTGTTAAAAATATTTTTATGTTAAAGCTACATTTTTCCTTATGTGAGGAAAACCCACAACATTTTTGTGTTCTTCTTTGGAACAAACACAACTTTTCACCATTCGTCTTCCAGATGAAAAATATTTTGTTTGCTCTGTAGGTTCTGAGTTGAATGAATGAAAATAAATCATAAAGGGCTATTCTCAAGTAAGTGACATGAATTCAGAGATGACAGTACTTCCCCTTATGGTGTCTCCCCTGTAAAATGTGGGGTGTTCTGTATGCTGCAACCCTCAGCCACAGCTGGGTGAGCTCAGGCTGAGCAATAAGATTTGAAGTTTCATTTAAAAAAAAGGTTCCAAATCTCTTGTTTTTATGTGTGATTGATCATACACATAGATGTATGCACATTCATGAATGCACATACTTGCACATATGTGATGTGTGCACTCACATGCCTTTTCATATAAATGAAGCTGTTACAAGTGATTGCTGTTTTACTTTTGCTAGGGTTTATACTTCATTGTATCTGGAATGTTTTCATTCTAAAATGGTTAATTCTGGACCAGATGATTATTTTGGCTGTTGTTTTTCCCCCTTTTCTGACTTCACTCCAGTTTCAGGAGCTCCCTGCAGGGGGACCCAGCTGTGCTTACAAAACGCCTTAGAGCCTAGTTCTCGTGGAACGGAATCTGTGCCGTTGTTCAGGGACTATGAAATAGCTTTAGGTTTCATGATACCTCTTACATTGCACAATGCATTTGTATGGTTTTGTGTGAAGAGCTAGCCAAACATGAAATATGTACATCAAATATGTAACAGCAAATCAGTGGTGCCATGGAACTGAAAATCTGGGAAAATGATTGCTTCAATATACAGCAGTCTTCATCCCTGTGAAGGGCAAAGAACAAATGGGTATAAATGCAGTGTGAGTACACTCAGGATGGATGGTTTCAAACCATTAGACCACTAGCATACTGGCACTGCTTTTTTGTTGAAGTTACGAAGAGGTTCTGCATGTTTTTCAGATGGAACTTGATGGAGGAGATTATGAAATTGTTGCCTGCAACAGCAATGATTTGGATTTGATATTCTAGAAGGTCTCTTTCAATGCAAATACCATTCTTGCAATTCACGGGCAGTTGCTTACACTGAAAAATCTCTTTGCAAATTGGTCAGACACCTGGGAGGCACAGTTACTGCATGTCCCACAACAAAACCAAATGCAAGCACATTTTTCTTCTAGGTTTTGCTGTACTTCTGTTTGAACCACTCTAGCACTAGAGCAGATACATAAGCCCTGATACTTATCAGACTAAATGATATCCCCTTCGTATAATGCAGAACAGGTCTCTATGGAAGACTGGAGTTTGGAGAGAAAGTTCCTCCTGTCCAAGTGGATTATTATACCAGCGCTGCAGTCTGCGGTATCAAAAAAACCCACAAGCCTCCCAAGGTGGATAAGATTTATTCTGTCACTGCCAATTCTGAAATTGCTATTAATGATGGTCCTATTTTCATTTGAGTTTCAACTGAAAACTTCACTTTTATGCTCACCAATACATCTGCCCCTGTAAAAATCCCATCATCGCATGTAAAAATCAAAGACACACCTTTTCATTGTGACAGAGTGTACTCTGTTCCCCCAGGCTTAGCTTTAAAAAGCACATTAAAAACTATTTTTTCTCAAAGATTCTCTTACAGAAAAGAATGATCACATTCAACTCTATATTCCCTTTTCTTCTACTTTATTTTCTTTTTAATCAAATACTTTTTTTCTCTGTATTGTTTTTTATTGAAAGGATGGTATTACATTGAATTGCTCTCAAGCTGCAGTAAATCTCAATAATTATTCTGTAATAACTAACTAATCAGCTTCCATGTGGCATGTAAGCATGAGGCCATTTATATTACTCTCCTTTTCAAATGAACAGTTTTTCTTATAGGAAACATTAAAAAAAAAAAGAAAAAGAAAATTTATTCAGGAAGTTGTTTTTTAGTTTCTACTCAAACAAAGGTTTTATCAGCAAATACTTCACTTGTCGTGTTGCAGTAAAATAAAAAAACATACACTTTATCTTATTGTTGCAAAGGCAGTGATAAAAGGTCATGTGACAATTCCACTGTATGTATAAATTGAAAGAGTGTACATTTTCTTTCATCACAAGCAACAATACTGATTAGCATTTCATTCTTGATATGAGTATAAAAAGAATGCAAAAATGTCAAAAAATGGGTATCAGTGTGTGACAAACATACTCTTCCACTCACATTGAAGTTAGAAGCACTTTCTCTTGAGTAAATTTGAGTTGAATGTTAGACTTACGTTTATGAGAGCAGAATAAGCCTCTGATTCCTCTGATGATGCAGAGCTGCAGTAGGTTGTGTCAGTGAAATACAATCTCCCTCATCATGACTTCAAGCAATGGAATTGGTTTAAGGTGATTCAGGATAGGTGTCAATGAAATCCTCACAGAGTTTTAACATCACTGTTTAAAATCTGTGTGTAGGCAACCACTCATGTGAAAAGTGCAAATACGTTCCTGGATAACTGATGTTTCCCGTTTAATAAAAGTTCAGTAGTTCTACCTTGAAATGAATGTGAAGTTAGGAAAAAGAAAATTACTGTCTTCTATTGATTTTTAAATTCTTTTCTGAAAATACAGACTGACAACTTTTGTTTGTTCTTAAAAAGGTATTATGTGTAATCAAATTCTGGCTAGCACAAATTCTAATACATTCCTGCAAAGAAAACGCATTGCAGTTTTCTTTATGTGCTCAAACATTAGAATGCAGATGTGTGTTACTGAGAAAGTATTTTTTATTTTTAAAACATAGATTTTTGAAAGTAAGCTGCTCGTATAATACTCTCTACGTATACATTTTTTACTTCAGAATAGAAAGTACAGAAAATGATTAATATGAAAATGAAATTGCTTTCCTGTTTAAAAGTAACATGTTTCAGTGACGAAAGTATTCAGTTTCGTAAACATTTTGAGGTGCAGATTTGCAAAGTAATTGTTAAAGAAAATGCACATTACAGCATATATATATATAATATATATAAATATTTTCCTAATACATCAGCAAATGGCACATCGTAGACATCATAGCAAATACATTATTGTGAAAATTTTGAAACTACTATCAGAAATCTTCATTCTTTTGCCACATCCCACATTTATACTTTACTTGCTGCTTTCCAAACTTTTTGATCTGTGGACAATTCCTGGTGAAAGCTCAGGCTTCTTCCTAGCACTTGAAACCTTACTATCGACAGAACTGCACTAAATAACCATTTGTCAGATATCCTTTCAGGTCCTGAAACCCACTGTATTAATCTATTCACAAGTTCTTGCCTAGCAGTTGCAAAATGTATTTCATTGACTGATAGTGTTTTTGGACAGCACGCTTTGCAAGGCATGGACTGAAAAGCAGACAGTGATATCCTTGGTTAGAACTAATCCACATTGTTTTGAGTGGGGAATGACTTAGTCTGTATAAGAGCATCAGAACTATCTCAGTAGTCAAGACAGCAGTCACTACATGTGTGGCAAGAAAAGGCAACAGTAGGAGCTATATACTCCCTAACAAGTCATCAACCCTTCATCTCTGATAATGCTGTTTCTACAGAAGTGTTGTTTAAATAGTCTCAAGTGTATATGAGGGAATTGAGGACTAAGGAGGAAAGGCAAAAGGGCCATTGATCTTTGTACAGTTTTTTCTGCTGAACAAAACAGTCTTCCAAGAACATGCACAGTGTTGTGTGTCAATTTGTACTTTTATATGCTTATGTTTTTATCATGAATCTCGTAATATATGGGAATTAGCACCCAAAGTGTTTAGAGCCAAACGTTTATTTGAGAAATTTTGGTTTTGATTTTTTTTTTTTCCCGTATTTTTCTAACTTTCTTCGTTAAGGAAATCTTTTAGCCCACACATCTTTCTGTTAGATACAGAAAAAAATAAGTTTCTTTTTGAGGGGTAGTGGGCATCTAGAGAAGTTCACCACAGCATGTATAGTCATATGTCATACCCATAAAGAGCATCTGCTCTTAAAAAACAGACTGAGAGATGAGACTTAGTCTTCAACTGTGCAAATGTTCATATGAGTGAAACATTTCAGTGAGAAGTTCTACAGTTCTATCCAATGGCATTACGGGGTGAAAAGTTAATATATAAAATTGTAATTTTTTCTTTAGTAAGATGAATTAAATTCATGGTAAACTGAACAAACCAGTTGTTATGATGGGGAGAAAAATCAAATAAAAGTGTATGGGTTCCATAGAGATTTAATATCGTGCTGTTTTCTTAACATTTTTATTTCTGTGTTGAATTAACAAATACCTATCTACATACATGCAGAGTCTCTAAGGTTGCTCAATGACATTTGTCTCTAAGCACTTAAAATATTAACATACTGCTTTACCAAATACTCCAATAGATAAATAAATCTGAAAGTAGTTCCAATTAAGTGAAGTATCTAACATGCCAAAAGTAGAGATGAATTCAAACAGACCTTGAGTGTAGATATTCTTTTTTTTTTTTTTAATTTTAAGTATACCCAATCCACTAACTGGAAAGTGACACCCAGTAAAACATCAGTGCACGCTTGGTAAAATTTTCATTTGGTATCATTTCTGTTTATGCAAGTGAGGAAGACCCAAAGAAATCTTAAAGATCTCTGGCACTGTGTAAAAACATTGAACAAAATGCAGCATATTGTTATTTTGAAGTTATGTAACTGATTTCTTTGCATTTCAAGACTTCATTTTGCTATGGTCTAAAATGTTTCTCTATAATTTTGTCTTAGGAAGGTATTTAAAAAGTTGTAACAGTTATGAGTAAATAGTGTCTTACTTAATATAATTTTATTTAATCTATTTTTTTAACGTTCATTTCAACAAATACTTCGACAGTACTAAAATATTCATATCTGCTTACAAAGATAGCAAGAACAATGTGTGCCTAAAAACCAGAGCTGACATAAATCAAGCATTACAACATTCCTGCAGTGAAGAAATCACAATTTATACTGGCTGATTATCAGGAAGCATGCTTTCAAAGAACACTTTGTTCAGCGTGGGAACAAAAAAGTGCTTTCCAAATGCACTACGACCTCATGTTGCAATGAAAAGCTGTTTTAAATGCCTTTTGAATCTATTCAGCTTTCAAATATGCCAAGATTTTCATTGATAAGAAAGTCTAAGCAAGAACAGAAAAGAATCAAATTATATATTGTATTGCATTAAAAGACGGAAATACCATTAGCATAAAATCCCCATTCTGTAAGTCTATATTCATTGGCAAACATTGTGATAATGCTCCCACAGAAATATTTTTCTATAGATATGTAAAAAATCCTTTCAGAGGCCTTCTTCTCTCCTCATTCATCCCGCTTATCTTTTTCACCCTTGTTGTCTCCATAAACTATGCTCTAAGCTACCGTATTTCTAACAGCATTTTCTGCTGAGGCTGGGTCCACCTTCCATCATGTATCACTGCAAAATGGTATCATCACTAGATAGCCTTACGGACTGTTGTTTTACATTCAGGTAAGGTTTTGAACCAAATGCACTGCTGAAATTTCATTGGATTTTCATAATAACCATGAGAATACAGGAACCTTTCCCTAGGCTTAATGAATGAATGAATAAATAAATAAATAAATCTGACTGACATGAGATGATTTTGCCTGAGGAAGAAGAGCTTTCAGGAAATTAATACAGAGCATCTGACAAATGCTGTACTGTCTATCAAACTGACATCTCAGTAGAATGTCATAAGAGCTCAAGAACTGGATCAAAGTTTCTGGCTCTGGATAACAAGTCTTAGATAAGATTTTTTATAGAAATGAGCGCTGCTCTAAAACATCTAGCCAAAAAGTTTCAAAGAAATTTGCAATGTGTCTTTGGATGGAATTCTAACAATGCAACATGGTGAAAATGCTGCAACAAAACCAAAACTGTGACAGATCTGTAATGAGTATCTTTTTCTTAACTGCTTTCAATTATGAAAGGAGAAGAATTTTACCAGCAGCAATGGCTTATATGATCATAGAGTCATCAAACCACTGAGGTTGGAAAAGATCTCTAAAAGTCCAACCATCAATCCATTACCACTACACGCACTAAGCACTAAATCTACATGTTTCTTGAATGCTTCCTGGGATGATAACTCCATCAGCTCTCTGGGCAGCCTGTTACAATACTTGACTGCTCTTTCTAAGACAGTTTTTTTCTTAATACCTAACCTAAAAATCCTGTAGCACATCCCTCTCATTCAGTTGATAGATACCTGGGAGAAGAGTTCAGCTTCCACCTCACCACAATCTCCTTTCAGGTAGTTATAGACAGCTTTAAGGTCTCTCTTCAGTCTCCTCCAAACAACAATCCCGGCTCCCTCAGCCACTCCTCGTAAGACTTCTGTTCCAGACCTCTCACACGCTTCGTCACCCTTCTCTGGACACACACCATAACCTCAGTGTCTTTCTTGAGAGGAAACTCAGAAGACTGAGAGGACTGAAACTCAATACAGTACTCAAGGTGTGGCCTCATTAGTGCTGAGTACAGAAGGATGATAACCTCCCTGCTCCTCCTGCTGCCAACTGTTTCTGATACAATCTAGGATGCCATCTGGGCACACTGCTACTCATGCTCAACTGATTGACAGCTAATACCCCAAATTGTTTTCCTGCACACAGGTTTCCAGCCAATCTGCCCCAAGCTTGTAGTGCTGCTTGGGGTTTTTGTAATCAGAGTGCAGGACCCAGAACTTGATCCTTTTCAACTTCACCTCCCTGATCTCAGCCCCACAATGCAGCCAGTCCAGATCCCTCTAAAGGGCCTTCCTACTCTCAGGCAGACTGGCATTTCCCTGCAGCTTGGTGCCATCTACAAACTTACAGAGGGAGCATACAATAGCCTCACCCAGACCATCAATAAAGACATTGAACAGGACAGGCCTCAGTGCCAACTCCTGGGGAACACAACTCATGAGTGGCCGCCAGGTGAATTTAACTCCATTCACCATCACTTTCTGGGCCCAGCCCTCCAGCTGTTTTTTTGCACAGCAAAGTAAGTACCTGCCCAGGACTTAAGCTGCCAGCTTCCTCAGGAGGATACTGTGGGACAGTGTCAAAGGCTTTGCTGAAGTCTAGGTAGACTATGTCAAGAGTTTTTCCCTCATCCACAGCAGGATCCCCTGATAATTGAAGCAGATGACGTTAGTTAATCAAGACCTCTCTAATGAACACATGGTCGCTGTGCCTGATACCTAGGTGTCCTCCACATGCCATGTGATTGTACTCAAGACAATCTGAATCATGACTTTCCCTGATACAGAGGCTGAAAGGTCTGTAGTTCACTGGATGCTCCTTACGACCCTTCCTGTAGGTGGGCTCCCCGTTGGATTCTAATGTTCTGTCTGTATTCTTGCCTGATATTCTAACCTAATTTTACTGTAGGAGGAAGTATACAAGTCAGTTCATTTTCAGAACTTTTTGAAGGTATTTATTATGCAAGAACTCTGTCTCTCTGTCTCTTCTGGAGTGATAGAGAATTAATACATTATTAATGCCTCAAATACAAACATAAGAGGCAAGTCATAAATACAATGGGCAGAAAGGCGAAGAAACAGAATCACAGAATCATGGAATGGCTTGGATTGGAAGGGAGTCCAAGGATGACCAAGTTCCAACCCCCCTGCCACAGGCAGGGCCACCAACCACCAGATCTGGTACTAGGACAGGTTGCCCGGGGCCCCATCCAACCTGGTCTAGAATATATCTCCAGGAACAGAGCATCTGCAACCTCTGTAGGCAGCTTTCCAGCCTCTCACCACACTTTCTGTAAAGAACTTCACCCTGACATCCCTCCTTGAGCTTAAAACCATTCCTCCTTGACCTATCACTGCCTACCCTTGAAAAAAATTGATTCCCCTCCTTTTTATAATCCCCTTTTAAATACTGGAAGGCTTCAATGAAGTCTCCTCACAGCCTTCTTTTTTCCAGGCTGAACAAGCTCAGCTCCCTCAGCCTGTCTTCATAAGGGAGGTGCTCTAGCCCTCTGTCATCTTTGTGACCCTCTGCCAGACCCTCTCCAACAGCTTCACATCTTTCCCATATTTGGGGCCCCAGGTCTGGATGCAGTACTCATGCTAATCTGCAGATGCATTTTACAAGTCATGAAGTCGTGTTGTCTAGGGGCAATGGAAATTAATTCCCTAGCTGCCGAAGAGATGGCATGTTCAGAGTAATGGTCTAATAGATGAACTAGGTGATCTTAGTGGTCTTTTCCAATCTTAATGATTCAGTGATTCTCTGACTGTCATACACATATCTAGCAGTCTGTTTTAACAATGATTTGAGACACTTTTTGGAATAAAAAGGAGGAGTTCAGTCTCACTTCTGCTCAGTTTGTTCAGGATGGCCATGATGAAATACCAGTTCCCATATGTAGCTTTTTGCTTTGGTAATGTTATTCCAGTAGGAATATAACTTAAAATCACAATGCTCATTTTAAATAAGTGATGAAGATATTCGTTTATTACTTATCCAGGCCAAACTGTAACTCTGCAACATGCATAACATCACTTCTACCGTGTTTATTTCTCATACTGGGAAAGATAAATTCAAATTACTGAAGTTAGCTGCATTAATACCTTTATTTTTTGCTATTTTCTTTCCTAGATTTTCCCCTCTAGCTGAACAACAGACACACTGAGAAACATGCCGGAGCAAAGCAATGATTACAGGGTTGTTGTGTTTGGGGCTGGAGGAGTTGGCAAAAGTTCTTTGGTGTTGAGATTTGTGAAAGGCACTTTCAGAGAGAGCTACATCCCCACCATTGAAGACACCTACCGGCAGGTGATCAGTTGTGATAAAAGCATATGCACTTTGCAGATAACTGACACTACAGGGAGCCATCAATTTCCAGCCATGCAACGTCTTTCTATTTCTAAAGGGCATGCTTTCATTTTGGTTTACTCTATCACCAGCCGACAGTCTTTGGAGGAACTTAAACCAATCTATGAACAAATATGTCAGATTAAAGGTGATATAGAAAGCATTCCAATAATGCTGGTGGGGAACAAAAATGATGAGAACCAAAACAGAGAGGTAGAAAGCAGTGAAGGAGAAGCTATGGCCAAGAAGTGGAAATGTGCGTTCATGGAGACCTCTGCCAAGCTGAACCACAATGTGAAGGAGTTATTCCAAGAGCTTTTGAACTTAGAGAAACGCAGGACTGTGAGTTTACAAATTGATGGTAAAAAAAGCAAGCAGCAGAAAAGGAAAGAGAAGCTGAAGGGTAAATGTGTAGTCATGTGAAATTGCACTGACAGGAGTCTGTCATGCATTCTCACCTTTCTGATATTACCCATGTAAAGCCTATACACAGCAAACAACCAGAACAGATCGTACTGATTGATATCTGTTTTAAAACAAATACTTGGAATTTGAAAAAAAAGAAGAGTTACTGTTGTTACTATGAAAACAGTCAACAATTGGAAGAATCATGCTCTCTAGATACCAGTGAAAAATTCAGGATAAGAAAAATCACATGGAGCATATTGTGGAAGGCTTAGAAATCAAATCATTATATTTATATTCTCATGTAACTGCAGTGGAAAGTACTGTATAATGCTAGAAAAAAAAAGGCAAATGCTTATGCTAGGGCATGTAACTGCATGCTGGATGAAGTTATCATACACTTCAAGAGTGATGTGGACAAACTGTTCTGTGCAATTTTCAGTTCTGACTGCTTAAGTAGTTTGAATAAAGTAATAATCTCAGATATGCCAAATAATCTATTTCTCACCAAAAGGAAGCACACTTAAAAGAAGTGGAGATTTTCTCTACCTCCCTGAGCATGAGATGCCCTTCCTGTATGATACAGTGTTTGAAATAAAGATGATGAAAAGCCAGCCCCTGCAGCATAAGTGGAGATTCATCTCCTCTGTACTCATCAATCCAGGAATCCTTGACACCAAGGTATTTCAGAGGAGAAGATGCTTGCTGTTGAGGAACATCAGGAAATATAAAAACAGTGTGTATATGGCAACAGATTACTTCTTCAGGGAGGACTGGATGGAGAGTCGCCCACAAAGGCCTTTGTGGGAAAGGCTGACTTCAAGCAGTTCTGACGGATAAGTGAACAGACAGCATGACTTGTGAATGAACCGGAGGACTATTAAACACATGCTGCTGCTGGAGAGGGGTGTAGTAACAGGAAGGTTTTACTCTGTTTATTAGATTAGCTGAGTAAAACTTATTTCCTTTATTATATTGCAAATAGAATAGTTTTGGATTCATACATTGCTAGATTTATTGTGTTTACATTGTCAGTGGGGTTTTATATTCATCATTTAAACGAGAGGAAAAGAGAGGAGAGGAGAGGAGAGGAGAGGAGAGGAGAGGAGAGGAGAGGAGAGGAGAGGAGAGGAGAGGAGAGGAGAGGAGAGGAGAGGGAAGGGAAGGGAAGGGAAGGGAAGGGAAGGGAAGGGAAGGGAAGGGAAGGGAAGGGAAGGGAAGGGAAGGGAAGGGAAGGGAAGGGAAGGAGAAAGAAAATCATTCAAGTACTCTGTCATGGGATACTTTAAAACATTTTAAAGGGGATAAATGTCCAAAATATGAGTTTTGCTGGATATCTCTTCAAGCTTTTTCTTAAAAAAAAATAAATAAAAATAGAAGTGATTAAAGTTTGTTTCCTATTGATAGCAAATAACATCAAATATAGAAGAAGCACATACATTTCTTAGAGGACACACAAGAACTGTATAAATGACAATTTGTACTTTACAAACTGCTTTGACATATTAAAATAAACTAACAAAACATATTTTTAGGAAACTTCTGTGTCAGAATCATAGTATAGGAAAATGCAATCTAGTACTAGTATTATTAATACGCATGCTGTTGTATTATGAATGTCTTAGAGCTATTCAAATACAGCATTTACATTGAAAATTGCTACTTTGTTGCTCTCAAAGCTGCTGCTTATCTTCTATCTACTAAAGTGTAGGCATTTCATAGGTAGAGTGATAGTTACATGTCTTTGAGCAAGAATTGCTGTTAATGCTGTCTCTAAAGGAGCAGAATTTCTGTTGTTCACTCAGAAAAGGTTCTGGCAGCATTATTATCAAGTGTAAACCTCCTACTGATTTGAAAGAAGACAGTTTTTGTGTTTATTTCATTAGAAAAGTGAAGAAAGAAAAAAGGCTAAGGCTCTTCCTTAGCAATAAATTTCCCTCTTAAGCAGTGCTTATTCTCCATTAATTCCAAAGCACTTTATACAAAAGACAGAATCATTACCTTAAATTTGCAGGTGGTGAATCTGAGGCACAAAGAGAAGAGCTCATAAATTACCCAGCAGTGACAGACTCAGGAAGAAAAGCAGATCTCTCCAGTCCTACTCAAGTGCTGTCTGCCTTTGCTCAGACTGCCTCTTCAGATTCTTAGTTTCCAAAGTATATAAAGAAGCTCGATATAGCTTATATGGCTGAGCGTATCTTCTTCTTAGTGTGCCAGTAAATCAAACACTATTTCAGATCAGGGATGCAAAACTACCTTTACTACGTATTTTCTACATGTTTATACATACACTCTGTTTGTAAGCAGATATTTACATATCTTCACTGCACTGGAATCCACTAGCGGAACTGGAAAGTCAAAAGAACGACCACACTCGGGAGTGGTGAGTCATACACAGGGATTAGCATTACAGAGATCTCCCACTGACATTAACAGACTGGTGCCTACTGGCACTGTGCTTGGTCCACTCCTAAGTGGTCAGCATGGAGTAACTACAGAAGCAGAAAGAAGACAAGGCTATGTAAAGAAACAGTCCTTTTAGAATTATTACTTTAACTGGAGGAATTATTTGTATGATGAAGAACCTTGCAGAAGTAGAATACAGGAGATCTGAATTAGACTCAAAATGTTACGACTGTAAGTACATTGCATACTGAAATTTGGATTTTGGCTTTTTTTTTAATGTGCCTCATAGAAAGAAAAAAGTGTATGTATAACCAGGAAATATACCAAGTAGTTGCCAGTTATTATTACATTTAAGGACTATTTCTGCTAATTTTCAGTTAATTCTTCTCCTGTTACATAATGGATCATGGACTATTTTGTAGACTTACAAGTATCAAACCAAGGCCAGTAGAGAAGCAATATTGCTCATGGAACATAGACCTATTTTTACCCTTGCATTTTTATTCTAGTTTATACTCCTAGATTATATATTTGTTGTGTTATTACTTATCTTTTTTCTCTCTCTCTCTAATTCAGGAAAAAATATGAAGAAAATACACAGCTTTATTAGAAGTTTGTTTTCTTCGGGGATGTGATATTCATATAATAATATATTTTAAAACATACAGAAGAGATATGACATTTAAAATGTAAGATCTGCAGTGGATTTTAGCACCCAGATGTTTAGACAAAATAAGTCTTTACAACACATGACTTTTGTATGTATATAAAACTTATAAAATTATGTAGTTTTCATGAAAATGAGTCACTGTGATTTCATTAGCAAATATTTTATTCAAAAACTGTGGATATTAAGTTGTTTGTGCCTACAAGCTTCTTTGTTTCCAGTAATGTTCTAAACATAAGAAATAAAGTTTTAAATGAAAATGTAGTTTGGGAACATTTTTCTGTATTGTGTTTGTTTCCTAAGTATATTAACCATGCTATTTCTAAAAATGGGAAAGAAAATACCCTAAAACAAAATAGAGTCAGGCATGTTAGCTAATGTCCTAACGTCTGCACCTATACTAATCTGAGTCCTAAAAAGTTCTAAGGAGTAGAAGAATATTGTCTTATTTGACATTTACTCTTCCTTTATTATGGTGAGACAAAGCATCTATAAGTTCAAAGTGATTTAGTGCTTGTGCTTCTGCTACTTCGTTTCTACCAAATGCCTGATGTTTTCACAAAATTTTCTACTATGGCACATAAAAAAAAAAAATAATAATAAAAAAAGCAAGGATTACAGCTCATTGGATAAATGAAATTGATAGTTTTTGTATGTAACCATAATTCATACTCAGCAAAGAGAGGAATCAACAAATAAACTTGAATACATAGGCACTTTTGTAGGCATTTTAAACATTGAAATATTGAGGATTTAGTGTAAATTTCAAAAAAATTCTACTATTCCTTTCTTTTGTCATATACATCATCATTCACGGAGCATACCCTGATACTGACATGGCATACCCTGCTACACTGGTTGTTCTATGTTAGTGCAGGAATTTGCACAACATAACTGCTGTATAGGTATTTGTCCATCAATTTGTTCACATCAGCATTACAAGAATTACACAGTTTTCTTGCCTCTGAGTTTTTTCTTTCATTGTTTACAATTTGTTCCTTTTAGCATTCAAAGTTTTGAGTACATATGAACCCTGTAGGTCACTGGCATCTCACTACCTCATATATATGTTCTCTAATTAATTCAAATGTTTATTTAATGTAGAGAATGGTACCCAAAATGCTGGTGCCACTCTGAGAGTTTTGATTTTTACTATAGTGGGATCTTCTATTAATGTCCTGTAGGGTGTGGTGGATTCCACCTGTTTAGAAGAGGCAACAAGCTGGCTAACATAGTGAGGCACGCTTTAAACTGAAGGACTTAGGGGGCAGGGTCCATGATGGCAACACTCATGGCACTGCAATCAAATGGAGAAGGATTTAGGACAGCCATAAGAGTAACAAATGTTCTTTAACTGCCTCCAATGACAAAAGCCAGAAGACTAGCCGCCTCAAGAACTTCAAGATATGCCTACAGGAAATCTTTCACCCCTCTAGGGGTATCTTCGCCCTCTGCTTTCTTGAAGTGCCTGTATACCAGTACACACAGCATGGGGAAATAATGTCTTGTTCCACATCTTCATCAGCTCCTAGAAAGAGTCTAATTCAGAGCGACAGTTAGGAGCCTGGAGTATCTCCTTTGCAAGGAAATACTGAGAGACCTAGGACTGTTCAGCCTGCAGAGATATTCAAGACCAATCTGGATGTCCACCTATGTGAGCTGCTGTAGGGAACCTGCTTTTAGCAGGGGGTGTTGGACCCAATGATCTCTAAAGATCCCTTCCAACATGTACTATTTTGTGATTCTGTAAAGTTCAACTTAACTTATGTTGGAATCAGAGGAAGTGCAGAACATAAAACATCTTTGAAAACATGGACCTGGATACATCTTGTGAAGGATGCAGACTTGGCTTTAAACAAACCAGGAAAATGTAAGGTTTTATGTAGGTTACTTTGCTCAAGTGCTTCTTTTTTAATGAGCCATAATGGACCTACCATGAAGTCATAATGGAACTGAACCACAGAGGGTCATTTGTTTTTCGGTCAGATGTACTTATGCCTCATTCAGACACTAAGAAATCATCCAAAATGGTTCCTACAAATGCTGTTTTATCCCAGTGCCATGAAAGCTGTGGATGAGAGTGTCTGTCACATATAAGCTGCCACTGTATTCATTTTAGTAGAAAAAGCAGATGAGGTATAAAAAATATTTTTTCTGTAAGAAGAAAATCATTTTCATTCATTGTTAGGCAGAAATGGAGAGAGTATCAAGCTGCTAGTCACTCTAATATATACCTGCTTTTGCTCAGTGATGTTGAGAAGAGCCTCTGCCTGTGATTTTTCCTATCCTTATTTTGTTCAGTTCCTGCTGTCAATTAGCTCGGTCCCCCATCATGCACCAGCCTTTGGTAAGATGGAACAGGTTGTTGAAAAGCATGTTGAAAGCAATGGGTGGAGGAACATTTAAGCACTGAGAGAAGCGTTTGAAAGAAGCCACCTGGTTGGGCAACAATAGAGGATCAGTCTATCAAAATGGCCCTATCCAATCCAGATGCCTGCATACTGCAGAGGGAGATAAAGAGCATGTTGGGAAAAGTGGATTGGGTTCTTCCAGCTTCTGGAAAGGGCAGACCTCTTTGTGGTACTGTTTTTGCTCAGGGACCTGGATCCACTTGGTGGGTGATACAGAAAAGTGGGATGTTCAGTGTGTACCACAAGGAGATTTGATGCTGGGGGAGTGCAGTCAGTAACTCCATGTATACATATATTTATGTGTGTATGTTCAATGCATATTAATTATTGTTTTTTGTTAGTATCTGTTAAGTATGATGCAGTGATGTAGAACAAGGGGTGAAATGTCATGGTTTTATTATTTTTGGCTATCAATATTCCACTTCATAACATCATGTAGTGCGCTGGGAGTTAAAGAGTTAATGCTCCAGTTCCAGGTGCCTGTCCGAGAAGAGAAGAACTACATACCCCAGAGCACTCTGTGTTCAGAGAGGAGATGAACCCCCTGGCAAGGTCACTAGACTAGGCTCTCCTCCCTGCTGCTCAACCCAACTGCACGTATCATCTCAG